CAAAGAATTCTGGTTCTAGCCATTTAATTACTCCAAGTCCAGTTCCGATTGCATTTATTTTTAAAAATAACCTCCTTTAAAAAATAAACAAACACACCATGTCTTTCCACCACTTATTGCCAGTATTTTCAGTGCAAACTCTGGCATACATCTCAGGTCTGTTTACCCTCCATGGCGTTAATGTTTGTTTTTAATGGATTAGAAACATTTTTATTTTTGCACCAGTAATGGTATAATGTTTCAAATTCCACTTATTTGGACTTTGCTTTGTTTGGCTATTGAGAAAGGTTAGTGGTTAGTGCTCGGCACTACTGTGTAAGACTCCCTTTCTTGACGGTGGTAGGAGTGAGGAGTGCTACAGAAGCAGATCTCCACGGAGGACCCTCTAACCATAGGGAAACTATTCCTTTTGTGCCAGAAGAAAGCAGGCAATGATACAGGATTTGAAAGTGCAGGAGAATGGGCTGGAGGTGGAAGGGTGGGAAAATGTTTTCTTTGGATTTATTTCTTTAGGGAGAAGAATAAAACCTTGTGATCTGTCTTGGAAAGGGGCAGGAATAAAGCCCGAGATATCTGAAATTGGACTTTTTTGCTGACTGGCAGCACTGAACTGCTTCCAAAATTCAGTTACCTAGAGACAGTAGAGCTACAACACCAAATGCAGAGGGAGTCTTTCTTTAAAGCGACTGTTGCACAGCATCCAGCTGGAATTTGGAAGTCTTTTTACTGACAGATGATAATGGATTTCATTTTGAGCTTTGCCAGAAATCCTTATACCACTGGCTGTAGACAGGAAAAAGCATTCTCCTCGCACATGCAGGCACGTGGGAGAGAGCAGACTACGAAAGCGTCTTTTCTGAAATTAAATGCAGGGCCTTGTAAGCTTTTTTTCCCAGTAAAACAAAGTTGGTGGGGACTCTTAAATGTAAACTTATTTGTTTGTATAAAAGAAGTTTGATCTGTTCTGCGTGTTACGCTTGTGATAAACAACAGAGGCCACATACGTTTGTAACTCAGCTTGATGGGGAATATTTGAGTGAAGAAAAAAACAGTGACTGGCCAGGCCAGCATGAAATGCTAGAGCCCGAGGGAGAAGGGAATATCTACAACCTGCTTTGATTTTGGCCATGTTATTAGACATACAGGCTTAAATAGGTTAGGTCTATTGTTTTGTGCATATAGTGGCCCAGCATCAGAGCGCAGTCCTTGCCATGTGGTGGATGCACTTGACTGAATTGTATTGTCTTTACAATTTAGGTGTTCTCTTTCTCTCTAACCATCCCTGCATGTTCTCATCATTCAGCAAGCATCTACCAACCCTTATCTTATTAGGAAGGCCTGTTACAATCTGAGGAGGAGAGTATTTTATTGTTTCATTATGGTTAGAACCCAGTCTAGTTAAGAAATTACCGACCTTTGGCGCTAGAAAAATTATAAGTGCACCATGCTGCGTTCAGAAGGGGAGTGCATTAATATATTTATGCTCAGCTTAACCTTTGTCCCTTTCAGGGCACATGCACTTATAACTTACTGATGTAGAAATAAGCTTTCTAGATCCTAAAGCCAAGACAGATATTTGGTCCGCATCCACGAGGCCAATGCAGTCCATATGGGAAGCTTTATGCAAATTATATAAACTAATTTAGAGACTGAGAAATAAATTACAAGGAATCATTTGGTGGCCAGAGCAGCAACTGTAGGCAAAGACCTCCTACATCCAGCTTGGTGTGTGAAAGTTCAGGGAGGCTGTGGAAACACACGCCGTAGCTGCCAAATGTGTGTACCTTGTGAGACGGTTGTGTCCTGCGGGGTTCCAAACTTGAAGCGAAAGCTGTTCCCAGCCCAGATGCTGCAGTGCTATGAAACTGGAAAGGAAAGTTTTATGTTCTTCCCTTTCTTTCTTTTTGAGGGAAAAAGGACGACACAGCCTTCTCAAAAAAAAAAAAAAAAAAAAAGTGTACTTTTTTTTAATACCTTTCTTCTTCTTTTAGAAATATAAGGAATATGAAGGACTGTTTTCCTTAGCAGTGCTGAAGGCCATGTTAGCTGTTCTAGACAACCTTCTGGAAAGTTTTCTAAAACGGAAACAGCTTTCTGAAGCCATAATTCAGGAAGCCTCCCCGTTTAAGAAACATTTAAATCTTATGAAAGCAATATAAAGCAATTAAGTGTGTTCTTAAGGACTCAGGCAAAGAGGGCTCTTTACTCACTTCTCAACTGAAGGTGAGAATTTGATGGTTCTTACTGAAAAGATCATTTTTTCCAAATATTTGTCAAGCATTTAAAATAAGCACTTAAAAAAAATAAAAAAGGCAAGCACGATTAAAATTAATTCTCCTCTCAGTCAATCAGGCTTTAATTATTTAAGATCCAAACCTTTACTAGTTCTTTAGTCAACTGTAGTCTTTCAGGAAATATGAAGTAGGGAAGACATGACTTTTACAACTAGTAATGCCTTTCCACTCCCCACACTTTACTGGAGAACAAGTAAGTGCAAATGTTCTTCAAGTCACCCTAAAATAAAAGGCAACCAATGTTTCTTCTTCCCGAAGGAGGTAAAGAGTATACCTAATTTTAAAATATTCCTTCTATATTATTATTAAAAGTGTGGGCACAGGAACATGTTATTTTGTCTAGCTACTCTGCAGTATTAACCATGTACACTTTCTTACCCTGCCGTGCAAATTCAGAACACACAGGCTTGTTAACCCCTCTCCCAGGGAAAGGCAGGTACCTTTGATTTACACAGAGTTGTATTCAGAATTGCGAGTGTATTGTAAATTCATGGCTTTGGTTACTCCACTCATGTATTCACAAATGATGTTTTTTAATAAGTCAGAAAATAAAAGGCTGACTTTATGATTTTTAGGTTGCTACTCTCCCTGAAAATGGCACCATAAATATTCTTGTCATACACAAAGTCCTCACAGATAGGCCCATTAACTCTTGCAGTAATGGTAGACCCAATTTCATTACACAGAAATGTCAGGCTTACATCTGCACATTCCTTTTTTTGTGCAGAAAGTACCCCAAACTGTGTATTGTCTCTCTGGATCCTTAATTTGCCTATTCCTCTCATCTGTGGCTTATCTGTATAGTTGAATTACATTCAGTGTTGCTAATACAAGTTTTAAGATTGCAGCAACTTCATCTTTTAGTTATCAGAAGGAAGCTGAAGGTTTTCAGATGGCTCAGTGAGAACCGGGTGGTTTGCAGTCCAGATTATTTGGAGGAAACACCGGTTGTAGTTTCCCAATATTTTTTATTTGTCTCTTTTGTCTGTTGGAGGATTTAACCAAGAGGGTTTCAGTGATCTGGTTTGCAGCTTGGCCTACAAGCATCTTTGGCAGCACAACCGAACAGACAGGGACAAGCAGCCAAACAGGAGACATCTTTAGCTGACTTCACTACTGGAGAACCTATTTTAGGACTCTACGCTAGAGTCCTTTGTAACAGGGAATAAATACAATTTCTTTCTCTCCTTTGTTTGGGACACTGGTGGAGGTAATTTTAAATGAACTGGTATAAGCTCCCAGTGATTGTCTGTCCTACTTCAGCTTAACTCACGATCTGCTACAGCATCCAACAACAGCAAACAAGAAGTTATCCAGATTAATTTACTAAGACGGTACGCAGCAGAACAATACAATTTCCTTCAAATAATCTTTATGCATCCAAGCAAGCATACAACAGATATGAACAGGCCAGTTCATGGCTTTCACAGCTACTGTTCATGTTCTCAGAGCTGTTTGTAGGCTGACATCAGTCTTGCTGGTTTTTAACCTTCCTAAGGATCCTGAGCATACAGATCCAGGCGTGGGAGTAATTAAGCAAGTGTCATCTCCCACAGACATCCTGGTAGTGCATATTTCCAGCCATACCAGCAGGATCCGGGTGCACAACCCTCTCCGGTTGGTCCTCCTGAAGCTTACATCCAGCCCTGTAAAGTGAGCTGTGAAAAATCAGAAGAGTGGTTCATAATAAGGATTTTCAGCACCATTATCTGTGCATTCTGCCCCACACCTCTGTCCTGTTCTGCTGCGTCGACTGGTGATCCTGCCCTGTTCCTCTTTCCCATACTCTCTCAGCGTACCTCAGCAGTCACAGGCTGCATATCCAAGACTTTAATGAAGAGCAAGGGTACGGAGGGAATGTCACACTGCCTCTTTCTGTGAACGATCGAAGTCTGATTTTTTTTTTTTTAAAACAAAAGAAAACCTCAAAAAGAGAAAAATGGACGCCAGCCAAGAAACAGGGCTGGGGAAGATGTTTATGGGTGTTGGCAAATCTACTGTGCAGCTTTCCCATGTTACAAACGACATCACTGTCTGCGAACCCGGGGAAGATACCCTTCTGCAGACCGAGATGATATGAGACTTGCCCGTTACGTCCCCCATGAACCTGAATTCCTGCTTCTCTGCTAAAACCGTGTAGTTTAAGGTGTTTTATTCAGCACGATTCAGGATCATCCCGGAACGAAGCTCTGACTAAAGCAGTAATGCGCTGCACAGCGAGGCTTCGAGGCTCCGACGAAATTAAAATAAAGATTCGGAGGCCGCGAGCAACAACCCTGCTCGGTGCAAGGGGGTGGGGGAAGGGCAGCATGTGGTTTGGGGTACGTTTCACCGAACGTCAAATCCCACCGAATATTTCACTCGTCTCCAGCGTGAGATCACGACACGACTCCTCTGTAATGAATTCTTTATCTTGGCAGCTCTCCTGCTTTCTCCCCAACCCTGCCTCCCTCTCCCGTCACATCTGGTAGTATTTGGAGAGCGGTTTTCGGCCGGGGAGCGGGCCCGCCCGCCTTCCCGCCTTTCTTCCCTCACACACCTGTCCGCCTTCCCGCCTCAGCCCCGCGGCTCCGTGAGGCGACTAAAGCCGCCGGCCGCGGAGCTCCCCCCGCCTCCGCCGGCGGGAGGCACGTCCCACACGACCGGCCCCGTCCGGAAAACCCCGTCGCTAAGGAACGCAGGCGTGAAAGCCGTTTTTTATCCGCCATGGGCCCGAAACGGTTCAAGACCGGCGGGGTGGCCTCGGCGGGGGCCGCGGACAAGAGCTGGGAGGCCGCGCTGGTGGCTGCCCGCCTCCAGGAGGTGAAGGCAGCCGGGGGGGGCAGCGGGGCGGGCGGTCCCGGGAGTTGAAGGGGTGAGGGGGGACGACGACGGGGGTCCCGGGCTGAGGAGCGGCCCCGGTGGTCGCAGCGTCGGCCCGCGGAGGGCGGTGGGTCGGCCCGGTGGGCGACGGAGCTGCTCCCCCCCCGGGGCCCTGCAGGTTTCTTGCTTTTCCTCCTCGGCACTTTTTCTTTTTTTTTTTTGGGGGGGGGGGGGGGGGGGGGCTCTGGGTGCCAAATTTCGGCCCGGGAGTGAGCTTTTTAAAAACTGCTGAACCACGAGGTTTGATGGAGGTGCTGACACAGCATTAGCTGTGGCGTTGAAAATGTGAGGCTGTAATTTTCCTGGTTGAGTGTGTGCAGCTAAAAGGCACTTTTTTCTTCTTCTTTTTTCTTTTACAGCGTGTGAGGATCTAAAGGTATATTTAGCTTTCCAGGTTCTATGTAAGCAATGTAATTCTAATAAATCTTGACTTGTAAGAGGGAATTTGGTTTCAAAATAGGGTAGTAGTTTAGCAAACAATAATATTTGTCTAGCATGTGTTTATCTAGCGCTGCTTCTGCAAGTGAGACAAACGACTGCCATGGCTTCCTTGTTTGATGGGTTTCTGTTGTGCCCTATTAAAAAAACAAGGGTGTTTTTTGGTGGTTGTTGCTGGGGTTTGGGTTGCTTCCCCCCCCCCCAGTATGCCAGCAGTTCTGGTTAAGTATGAGGACTTTTCAATTCAGGTGGAGGCTTTTAAACTGGCTAATTAGTTTTCCCGAAAATGCCACAGATGTCCAAAAGTCTCTTAAATACTTACTTGCTTTTACTTTTATTACTTGGTAGTAACCATATAGTACAAGTTTAGCCAAACCAAATCACTTTTTGAAGTAAGGTGCTCAGCTAAGGCTGCTGTTTCCCATTTTTCCCTAGAATGTAGATTTTTCAGTAGAGTTCAAAGGTGCTTGAGCCTTTTCCTGCTCCCGAATCTCGCCACTACTCCAGGAGAACCTCCCTGAAGCATGAGAAGGGGGTGGAGGTTCAGTCTCCATCACCTACTCAGCTCCTGACCATTCTCCTGCACTTACTAGCAAGGTGCCAACTAGCGATTTTTTTTTTTATGGTGGTGTTTATTGTGGTTGTGGATATTGTCCAGTGAATTCACTGAACAAAGTGCTTTGTTCTGCTGCTTCTACGTGTTATTTATTACATTTGTTAAATGCAAACCGTTGTATTGAATTATTTTAAAAGGTAGGAAGTAAAATGCTCAAAATTTAGGAAATGCCAGAATTAGGATTATTCAGGACCACACATTGAGGCAGATGGAAAGAAATATTGAATATGTTCACTGAATGGGGCAAGAATTCTGTAGGAAGAAATATGTGATCACCTAATGAAAGATTATCTTAATGCCCTATACCCATGGGTGCTGAATTAAGATTCCTGGGTTCCTTAATTCTGGTATTGTCCAACTGTTTTTTGTTCCAGTTAAGCCAATTCCACTTTCTCCGTCTTGTTGTTAGCAGACAGGGCCTTGGGAACTTGGGAAAAACTGTCTCCCTGCTGTGGTCAGCTTGAACTCAGGCTTCTGTGATGCTGGGCAGCCGCTGAGATGTCTTATTGCAGGAAAATTCTTATTCAGCTCTTACAGTCATGGGCAGGCACATACTTGGTGCAAAAATGTCAAATGCCAACAAATCTCTTCTGAGCATGCGTGAATCAAGATTCATCAAGTATGGCCAAATGTGGCTATACTTCATGTAAATAAACGTGCTCTGTAAAAGCACATCTTTGAGACAAGTATGGCTGTGCTGCCAAACTTAATTCCTTCCTCTTGAACATGGAGGGAATGGAATAGCTTAATTACTTAATCACATAGGGTTTTTTTATTAAAGGATAAACATGATTTTTAAAAACTGGATCTCGTTCTGCAAATAGCCTAACCACAATATCCTTCCCCACCCCCCCCCAGTAATCTTAGAGCATACAAGATTTAAACTTGAATATATAAAGGTCAGGAACTGAAAGCATCCTGTAAAAGAGAGTATTGAGCAACTTTAAGTGTCATCAGAGCAGACACGGTCCACAAAATTATTTCTTATTCCTCAGTGTTGTATGTGATACACCATATGAATCTGAAATTATTTGGGAGATGACAGGAACTCCTATCAATTAAATAAATTTCTCTCCTTGTAATTAATGTATAAAGAATTTTTAAATCTTTTACTTGTATCAATTTAGAGAATATTCTTTCCCTTTAGTGGAGTCAAAGGGAATTTACTAGAACTGGTTTTAAATTGCACCAGATAGACTTGAGCAATGAAATTTCATGTTTTAATGTGTGTTTATGACTTACAATATTTTATTAGTCTGATCTATGAAAAGGAATCATTTTACCAGTGGTGTTAAGATTTTATGGACAGTATGCTAACTAAAATATGATTTAATGGTATTTACTAACCAAATAATTGCTTTTACTAAACACACTGTGAAAACTGGCAAACAGACAACTTAAAAGCATGTACAGAGGAAATACGGATTTTGCAGAGCCTCACATTATAGTTTATATGCATCTTTTTTGTTTCTAATGTGCTACACAGAAGAACATGGAGCTGCCAGTTGTATTTGCCTTCAGATATTTATCAAGATATTTTGGCTGGGTTCACTGAAGAATTAAGTTACAAAACATAAATTAAGATTCTTAGTTTTAAACTTTGCATGCTTTAAGTACTTAAAGAGCAATATTTGCCAAGTGAAAGGTGAATTCTGGGCAAATACAGCCCTTAACAATTGAGATAATTGTTATCTATTACATCTTCTTATTAGCTAGTATAACAGTATAGCAACTGGAAGCCGCATTCTGCTCTGACTTACCATCTGTATGGTTTCTCTCATTTTATTGGTGTTTTAGGGCCTGAAAATTGAACTGAAATTAAAGCTTGTAAAACCACTAAAAATGTTCTGAATAGGATGGCTCCACTTTGGATTACTATTCATAATGCTTCCTCTTTGGAGAGGAATTAACATTGAATTGAGCTTTGATACTCTCTAACCTGCCCAGATTATACAGCAAAAGCTCAGGCTCTTAAAATCAGAATCCATTAGTAATATGGGTGTGTGTCAATCAGCAGATAATGAAAGTGGACTTGCAGATTTCTTAGCAGTGATGCCCTACACAGTCACTACATTAGGGCTACAAAATTGCTGATGAGCAACCTTTCTCAGTAACGCCAGCTGTATTTGGTGATTTAGAAGCTCCCTCTGTTGAAAGTAGAGTGCTAGAGGTAATATCACTCAAAGTCTTCATAAATAACTAATAAATCTCATTATTTCTGAGGCATTACTTAAAAATCAGGAGATTAAAGAACTTTTGCTGTTTGATGCTCAAATGTTTGGAGTTTAAGTTTTCAAATGTTTCTCTTCAGCCATTACAGTCAAATTTGAGATTGTGCTGTAATGAACATACTGGTTGTGGTCCTAAGGAGAGGAAAAAAAACCCAAACCACAACAAAACCAAACAAACAAAAAAACCCCCACAACAAAACCAAACCAAAAATAACCAATAAAAGACCCCAACCAACCAAAAAAACCATGAAATACCACAAGAATAAGTGATGATGCAAAACGACAGACACTTAGATTGCCTGGAATTGGTGGGGAGGTGGGGAGCGGGGTGAGATGGCTGCTTGATGCTTTTCCTGGCCAAAGAGATCTAGAAACTGGTACTGCAAAAATAAACAATATACCTGACTTGTTCAAATGTCTTCTCTAGAACAGCTGCCCTTTTGTGTCTAGGAAATGAAGCAGAGGAAACAAAGTATGTTTAAAAAGGAAACAAAATTTTGTGAGCTACATCTGCTTTTTTCTTCAATGTGAATTGAAGTTAGAGATTTTTTTAACATGCCTATGCTATTCCAGTAGTACTGTGGCAAATGAGATATGTAGGCTATGTGTACTGGTTTTTAACAGTTGGAAAAAAATCACATTGCAGAGGGACACAGTGCAGGCTTGAGAACAAAATCGGGGGAAGATGAAACACCCTTCTGTGTTGTGTGAAGACAAGGTTTTTGGAAAGCTGCTAGCTGCTTACATGGAGCTTTCAGAGTTAGGTGGATCTTGCTAGGATTGGAGCGGCTGCACCTGAGGGAAATACAAGCTTCCCACAGAGATGGTTATTTCTAACACCAAGAGAGACTTTGGTGCGTCTCAACTCTTGACACGGCCAAGAGTTTTAAAATTGGGGGTTGGGGGCAGTGTCATTTGTGACAATAATTGTCACTGGATATTTTCCAGTGAGAGTGGTCTGGCCTCCCCTTAATTTGAGCTTGTTTCAGATTATTTAGGGAGTATTCAGTTACCAGTGCTACATTTCCAGCTTCGATTTTTTTTTTCTTTTCATTCATGTTTGAATCAGCATTGTTGTTTCTGTGGGCTATCTACTCCCTGCATTTTGGTCGTCTTTGTTCACAGTATGTAGCGCTTGCATTATACTCACAATGGCAGCCTCCCTAGACTGTTTCCGTGCTTTTCCAGTGGTTATTTTTATGGTTTTCTCTATCCTGTTCTTTAAGCTGGGAACCTCATTTGAGGTAGCCTTAGGGTCACTAATCTGTCCTCTTTCAGATCCTTTCTCAGGTCTCACTTCTACAATAACATTTGAAAGAATTAAAGTAAGTAGAGGAGCAGTTGTATATTGAGGGAGCAAATATTTTTAAAGTAACCATATACATTTTACTGCTTTTCCTTCTCATTTTTATGTTGTGATTTTAGGTGGTGAGCTGTAGAAGCAGGGTCTGTTTCTTCTCTATCCTTTCAGTGCCTTGAACATTAAGGATACTGTTACAGTATTGATGATATAAGGGCAATATTGCAAAAATAATGGATTTTGAAGGTCAGAAAAGAGCATATACTAATGCTGCACATTCACTGTCCTTATTAAGTTGCTGTTCTTGAGGTTCAGCTTTTCTGAAAAATCTTCAAGGGCTTCAAAATTGGTCACTCTAGAAAGAGATGACATGCTATTAATGGCTCTGGGAATTGTGGATCATTATTCGTTCTTAAAGTGTGTGTAGCTCTTTCTGGTATTTAACTAGCTCCAATTCACAGGTATTGCACCTTTTTTACAAAAGGAATATTTTTTCCTTCATTTTGCAGCTAGGGAGGTATGGGCTATCTCTAACATTGTTTAAATTTTTACACAAAAGACCTTGTATTGAGTTGCATATACTTCTGTATAATTAAGTTAGGTGGGTTTATAATTTTCACTACCAGTTATCTTGTAGAGGCTCATTCCTTGTATTTTATTTTTAATATATTAGCCAGTATTTTGCCTATCCTATAAATATTCTCATAGCTGTTCTGTGGAGAAGCTTTGGCAGCTTGTTTCTTTGAAGCAGAGAATTTAGAGGAGGGAGATGTGGCACACTGATGTCATGAGCATACCTTTTGCTGAGGACATATGTTTTTCTGAGAATGTTTGTGTTTGGATAAATCCTAAGTTTTTTGAAAAATTCATTTTTCACAAGCAGGACTTACCCGATGTTTTGCTTTAAGTCTGAAAGTGCCTGGGAAGTATTAGAGGGGCTAGAGAATAAGGATTTGGAGAAGGAATCTGAGGATGGAGAAAGCTGGAAGTAGGATCAGATAATGCAACTAGGGACCAGCTAGACAAGGAGACTGAGGACGAGAGCTAGGGGAGGAAGTTACAGATGTGGGAAGCATTAGGAGAAGTGGTGGAACTCAGATGAGGAACCAAGAGTGGAAATGGAAGGAGAAGTGAGCTAGGGACAGTTGTGACCAAGGGGTGGAAAGATCAAGAAGAGACAGGACTACAAGGAAGAGAGGTTTCATAGACATCTTTGTTGCAGAATGATGCTAATCAGTGCTAAGCAGGTTTAATTTGTGGGCACCAAGACACCAGCATGTTTTACGAAGGAACTTAAGAAGGCATAAGGCAGAGGTTTTGGGACTCTGATGGGGATTTCTTCGCATACCTGAAGAACTGTAGGAAGCTGTGCGAGCAGGCTCTATATTGCTGCTCGCATCTAGGTTAGATCCTGACATTCCTGAGTCTTGCTGCTCTTGTGCTGTCAGCATCTGTCTGTGAGAATTACTGGACCTCCTTCCCCTCTTTTGGTGGTCCTCACCGAAGTGGACAGCGTAGTGATACCAGTTGCTCCATGAGCTCACATCGCAGGCAGATGGTTGTTCCAAAGGCTCCGTCTCTGCTGGTGAGCCCTGGGAACATCAGGATATTGTCTCGTGAGGGCATTTCAGTCTCAATTCTGAAAGCCTAGGAAATGATGCATTTGCGTAATTGCGCAAGTATGGACATCTAAATGCTCTCTGTTCAAAGAATGGTAAAGTTTTTGTGTCCAACTCTTGGCAGCTATACAATGACAACTTTAACTTGAATTCAGATTAACTGCAAGTTCTGTGTGCGTGTTTCGATGATAATATCGGAATAGCTAGCTCTTTCATAGTGCTGTGCACCGGTGGCTATCTTGGCAGCTTTAGGCAGGAGGAGGTATTGTCCCCTGTCTTTCCCCCCAGTTAGAAGGGAAAAAGAAATTCAGAGTACTTGGTGCGGTCCCCACACAGGCCATTGCTGCTGCTGCTTCTCCGTTGAGTAGTGCCTGCTGCCCCAGGTCACCTGGACACTCTCATAAATTCCATCATGTTTGCATTCTCCTAGAGCATCAGTGATAAGCTTGCACTCTCCTGCATTTTATAATTTTAAAAACTTAAGGTTTATTTTGTGCTGCTATAAAGCATCAAGGAAGTTTATGATGTGTGGAACTGTAGGGACCCTTTTGGATTAGGTGTCTGCTCTGTAGCTACTTGCAGTTTCAGAAGACTACACTTAGTGACCTAGGTAATCTTTCCATCTTTTTTGTTTCTCTGAATAGTCTGTGGTTAAAAAGATGGGGCATGTATGTATAATCACATCGTGCTATATTCATGTGATGTTATGCTTTGTTACCTTAAGAGTATGACAAACTGTTTCCCTCCATGCAAGCATTTACTAGTTTGAAACTTAGGTCAACTGTTGCTTTCTCCCATCCCAAGTCATCAGTTACTCAAACTGCAAACATTTAGGTAGGCTTTTTTTCAGCTAAGAGAGGGAACAAATGAAGAAGGGTACAGTAAAACTGGAAGAAGAAACTTTTCCTTTTACGATTTATATCTAACTTTTTTTGGAACGGTCCTTTCCCTTACTTTGCCATCAACTCAGGTTTTGTTCCTCTTTTCCACAAGGACTTTGTACATAATATACACTTATGAAAATATTTCCATCAAAATCCTGAAGTTACAAACCTCTCCTAAATTTGTCTTTAAAATCTTTCCCAGCTGTGATGCACACTGGACTGGTATGTGGCTCAGTTTAGCCTGGTCCTCATTAGCGTGACCATGTCTTGGGACAGCCTTGATGTCACTGAAGGTCTTCCAATCTTACCTTTATGCATTATTGATATCCTTGCAGTTTACACATGCAGATGTGCAATGAAAAAAAAATAATTGGTGATTCCTCAAGAGTGTACAGCACAACCCCTGGAAATGCTTATGTCCCAGGCACCACTGGTGCTGATAGAGAATACTCTGGAGTGCGATGTAGATGTGCTGGAGATAGCCGCTGGCTTTCTAAAAGGGATTCCAGTAGGTTAAAGCAGAAGAAATGGGAAAGAAGAGTAACCAGTAAAAGTTGCTTGAATGACATTATTTTGAAGCTTTCGTGGATGTGTGTCACTAAATAACGTCTTCCAGTCTTCTTGTGTTCTGCGTTTCTTTAATGCTGAAATCAGATTTTTTTTTCATAAAAATGTGTATTTTACTGCAAATGTTTGAAAACTGCTAGTGTTTTTCATTTGTCAATATTTAATGAAATATAACTTGCCATCAGTAAATAATTTTTCTTGGTTCAGAATACTTAGTGAAACCATGGTATGCATAAATATACCCTCATAAAACATCATACAAATAATGCTACAGTTTTCAGAAAATAGTATCTGGGCATTATCTAATTTGCAGGACGAGGGAGCTGAAATTTGTTTATTTTTTTCTACAGCAAATGATCACAATAATACATGTATTCCAAATTCACTTCTTGTTTGCTTAGTGATATGTCAGAACTGCAAATGACATTTAAAAGTTACTTTATCTGTGTGTGATGCTAATGCAGCGTTTGCCTGCCAGGACGTTTGTGAGGTTGTTAGTAGGCATTTGTGTTTTCCGTAGCATAATGCTGCCACCTGATGGCAGAAGGAATTGGGACAAAATAGTATGTGCTTTTTCGGGTTGTATACGGTTTATTTCAGTGTGATTAATACAGTGATGTTTAATATGTCTTAAAGGGAGTAACCACCTCTGCAGGATTACTCCTTGAAACTGCAGAGAAGCACTTTTGTTTGCTTCAGTTTTAATACCTTAAATGTTTTCTTTTGGAAAGTAGGATGACTGGAAGCCTAGCATCGCTTTCGTTGTTGGGACCAACGTTGAGGATGAAATCCACACCAAGGCCCTGTCTCTTGCTGTGCAGGTGCCACAGCGGAAGCTCTTCAGTGTGGTAACACGTGAAGACATTTTCAGACAGGTATTGCAGGAAAGGAACATTTAATAACAAACCAAACCCTAGATCTCCCTTCTAGATACTAACTTCTTTGGTAGCTCTAAATTTCGCATTCAACTGAATTGCTCTGTGGAAGTCTTAAAAATTCCACTAAATGGAAAAAGAAAAGCTTTTCTGTTTTTATGTATAAGCTGGTCTGCTCCCTGTAAATAGTGAGCTTTTGTTACAGACTTTTCTTCGAGGTGCTGATCACAAAAGCTCCTTCCCTAAGGTACAGGAGTACCGTAAGATGATTTCTCACTGTTTCGGAGTGTGAGTGTAATGTTTGCAGAAGGGAATAATGAGTAAAATAATTTGTGTAAACTTAAAATCTTCTCACAGTAGAATGCCTTTATTTCCTTGCAGATCAGAGAATCTGGAAATCAAAAGGGAAAAAAGGTTAAGGATGTGCCTATGTTCTATGAGGTAGGTTAAAACATGTATTGCAGAGTAGGTGCTCTTTTACACTGAAGTAAGTACAGCTGCATGATTGTGTTATGCATACCTGGGTAAATGCAAATCTATTGGATGTAGCTGGTTAAAACTCTCAGTACTTAAACTGCTTTCTTTTTGTGATACCAAGTGTTCTGTTGGACTGCTAATTAAGTGAGGATCAACATGTCTTTTTAGGGATATGAGTTTTATTATGTTAAGAATATGTTGTGTGGTGATATTTTGATGGAGGGTGTCACAAATTACAGAAAAATTATTAGAGTCTGCTCTCTCAGATGCTCCCAGTAATTTAGAGACTTATACCTTCATTTATGGGAATGCAGTCCCATAAACAAAAGGCCATCTCTGTATGCTAGTATCCATTATAGTCTCAGTTTGATGTTAAATTCTAACCTGGTTCGTCTAGTTGGGTACGTCAGCAGGGTTAGGAATCATGCTTAGTACAAAGAGTACTTCCTCCTACCTTGTTAATGTTTTACTTACAGCTTGTGAGAGGTTATAAAATCCTGTGATTAATTAGAATATTGTTTAAAATTTTCTCAGGTAGAGTTTTATGGCCCTACAGACCTGGAGCATAAAGAATTTTGGATCCCTCTAAAAAGATCTTGTTTGCGTTTTAGTTCTGCAATGACTAATAAACTTTTTATGTGTCTCAGGTTTTGGTGGACTTTATAACAGGTCTTTTTAGTTGCAGTCTGTTTTTCAGTAATGCCAGACTACTATCTGAACAAGTCCCTTTGGAATTATTGACCACTGACATGACTGTGAATTTTATGCAATTAACCCTCTTCGTTTAGGACTAGCCTCCCAGGCAAACTCACCCTTGTATTACCTGGTATGCAAAACCTCTTCAGTTCTACTGACAGAAGGATTCTGAAGTCTAGCTCTAAGCAGAAGCTTTGTATGATACCTGTATTTAATTACTAAGAGCAATTTTCCTTGTGAAGTGGATACTTATTAAATTCCAGCTGTCAGTGCTGTGTCTCATTAGCTACTTACTTTACTCCTCAAAGACATTTTTTTCCTCCCCTCCTTTAACAGAGAATATAAAATGCCTGTTCTGACCTTTTGCTTGGACTCAGTTTCCGTTCTGGCTGTAGCAAATTAAAAGATTGATCATGTTGCCACAAGCATTAAGATCCTGCCTCTCTGGGCAGAATTTACTCCTGAGCGTTCACTTAAAGTCCATGTGCAGTTTGTGCATTCAAAGCTTTCACTGCAGTAAGGATAAACAAGTACGAGGTTAGCACAGAACACAGGGTTGTGAAATGTTATGAGAGGAGCATTTCTGTCTTCATTGCATATGGTTCTTTTCTCTGTGGTAGGATTCAACATACTGGCATTTCCACAAGTGCATATTCATTTCTAGGGAGACTGTAAATGAGATTCCTGATGTTTAATGCTCTTTGAACATATGACATGTACATGTGTATCAGTTTGAGACTGATGACATGCATAGTAATGTGGTTATTAATGTTATTAACATTTTTACCCACGTCATTGGTCTTGCGTGCTGCTTCTACTGAAATGCAGGGGTTTTTAATAAATTTCAGTGCAGCAGTCTGCAGTGCCTACAAGTCAAGAAACTTTAACAAACTGCTCTTGGTATACTGCAAGCTAATCATGTATCATATTAAAATAATCCCTGTTGTCTATTCTAAATTATTTCCCTTCGGGGTTTCTCTCATCTTACTGTGTTGCATTTCATATCACTCTTATTGTACAAAGTGAAGAGGATCAGGGCAGGGTTTATGAATATGTAGCTAAAAGATTTCAAATCCAGGAGAATTAGGTGTCCAACACCTTTTCTGTCTCTTAAGTGACTTGATGGGAGTAGGAGTCCTGACTGGTAATTTGGTGCTAATTCCAGCACTTCATTAAATAACGTTAGGCTGAGTCTCTCATAAAGATGCCGTGGAAATGATTTTTTTGTTGTTGTTTCTATATGGAAGGGAAAATGTTACACTTCCTGTAAAATATCAACAGACTTTTTAATAAATCAGATTAATTTATCATGTACAGTTTTTCCAACAGACAAGACCTAAAACTACAGTATGTTTGAATAAAATATATGCATTTTATAAGCAAGGTATGTGTCTCATCGTTTATGTACCTGTTTTGTCAGCTTTCTATTAAGGTTGGTAAAATCATGTGTAATTAAGGTGCTTTACCACTAAAAAATATGATAGTGTTTTAGTTCCCAAACTTTGAATTTTGGAAATCTATTCAAGCCTAAATTTTCCATACTAGATTTGTTCATGTGGGTGATTTTTTTTTTTTTTTTTTTTTTTTTTTTTTCTTTCTTCTTTCTTGAAAATTCTGGTGAGAATGGGTTCAGGGGCTCTGTGGATGGAAGTATTTTTTTTATTTTTCTTTTTCTTCTAAGAGTTGTTTTCCAGTTTTGTTGGACTCACTGGGACAGGGTCAGGAAATTTGCCTTTATGTTACCCAGGAAATTTTGAGAAGGAATCTTGTCCCATACTCATAAAGGAGCAAGCTGGAGCTGGGGAGTAGTACCACGGTGAGAAAAGACTGTGAAAGAAGATGGAGCCTCATGTGGCCCCTTCATGTGAGAAGACTGGAAGTAGATAGATGGCATTGCTGAAAATGGACAATTGAGTAAGGGACACGGCCATGAGAGAGAGACAGATGAAAGGGAGAGAAATGTGGAACAATTTTGTGATTCTCTCGGATAAGCTGAGGTGCTTGGGCCGTGGAAAGATGAAAAAGGCACAAGTGACAGAGACGAGAGCAGTTTTGTTTGGATGTGGATCCCAGAACACTGCTTTCAAAATGTGTCCTTGTGCTTGTGAAGCCAGCAAAACTGAAGTCTTGTAAGAGCAGCATCCTTCCATACTGCTCTGACTCGTCTCCAGGACAAGCCATCCTGTGTAATCAAACAGGCTTAATTGCAATTAAAAATATTAATCTTTATTCCACTATCTGTCAAGAATTAATATATTAATTCTGGTTTCTCACAGCAAGGCTCCTACCTACAGTTGTCAAGCTGAAAAATATAATCAAATCAGGTGCCAAATCCAAATCGTGGCCCATTCTCATCCTGAAATTCTGTGAGGCTGGAGCAGAATAAATCAGTTGTAAATAAGTATTTCCCAGCTGTTAATCACTGGATAGATAGCTAACTCTGCTGTCATCTCCGGCGTTTTGAGGATGGGAGGCAGCATGAGCAGTGTGCACTGCACTCCAGAAATCCTCGCTAGACTTCTGATTCCTTGAGGATGGGTATAGGTGAATGCAAGTTGAAAAGCTCCTAGGCATGGCAGAATTACATATATACATAAAAACAAACCTAAGGAGTAAATTCATCTTCTGCTAGGCTCTGTATAGTATGCTGTGGAGGAGTGGAAGCGTGCTTTCAGTAGAAAAGATGGGCACAACCCAGGGGAAGAGGCCAATACACAAGTGGAGTGAAGCCTGTGATAGCAGCAAATCCCATAAGTTGAAGGGGGTGGAAGGAGGAGGTGGTTTGGAGAAGGCATTCCTATTGGAAAGGAAAAGGTAAATCGACTATCTGGGCTTTGGACCTCAAATGTAGAGGAAACATTTGGTGTAGTTGAAAGGAAAGCTTCCTGCAAGTGATTTTATTATTCTGGGTTTTTTTATCCTGCACCCTGTCTTTAATGATGCCTTTTTTTTTCTTCTCTTCGCCTTTCCTTCCCCTGTGAGACACAGAGCTTTGAAAAGAAGAGTTTTCCTTCTCCCTTGCTCTCTAGTAAAACTGACCCAATGCCCTCTGTGTTCTTCTCAGTCTAGGCTGGGAAGGGCTTGGTAAATGCCTAGTATTTTAGGCTTATGTTGTTACAGTTTACACTGTGCTGGCTTACCAGAGGATTTAACTAGGAGTTATGTCGCTTCTCCGAGAGCTAACTTTTCTGGTCAGGTGTGAAAGCTTCAGACTTGTTTGTCAAGTGTAAATACGATCTGGTTTCCCACGAGACCGTAGTGAATGCTGCAGAAATAAATAGATATACACATATGCACAAAATAAGATCACTAAATTGTTTTGATTCTTCTTTTTTGGTGAGAAGGGCTACTGACAAGAAAATTTCTGAACACTGTAGCCCGAGAGTTGAATTTCTTATCCACGTTACTATCACCAGTTTGTTTTACGTTCTGTGAAATTAGTAGATAGATTTGATTGGCAGAAGAGACTATTATGACCTGTGCTATAGGTCACAGTATTTTTTCCAAAAATAATTTGTGTGCTGGAATTTTTAAAATCAAGATTGGATTTTTTTTTTTTAAATGATTGAAAACAATTGAGAATCTGCTACAACTTAATTTGTTTCTGGGGAGGACCTTTCCTGATACTTTTATTATTATTATTGTGTCTTCTGGAGATCTTATAATTGAAGACTTTGTCAGTGATCTGGGAAAGACACAAACTTTTAAACAGAGCAGTCTCAATATGTTGTATGCTTCAGACCCCACAAGAAACTCACCTGTTTGATGATGACTCTTTGTTTATGGTTGCATTTTCAGATCTGTCAGTTAATGAGTTTTAATCTTTGTCACTGCTTTCTAAATCAGTAGTCAAAGAATACTTAGGAAATTCTGCTTTTCACTGTATCACCTTACCTGTTTCAGCTAGAATTGCAGTCTTACCAGAGAAAGCTATTCTTTTTTTGAAAAGGCCACCTTTTTTTTTTTTCCCCAAAAAGAACAAAATTGAATTTGTAATAATTATTTTACCCTCCCTTTATTTGTTGTTCATTGAATCCTCCCTTAGGACATTAAGGAAATAATACCAGCCCCTCTGTTATTCTGCAATGATCAGCATTACACTGCCAGTACTTAAAATACTTATGTTATTCTAGTTTCCCTTTTTTAAGCGTTGGTGTGACATCAGCTTGCTTTCTTTACTTTAAAACTGCCCTTGTTCTCCAAGAGTCGGTTAAAGTCAATATTCACCATCTAAAGAGCTCCTCAGCTACCTGTTTTTAACACTTCTT